CTAAAAAGGGTACCGGTGATCGATTTCGTGTTCCAGTTCAATCTCTCGTTAGAGTTTTTCGTACCCAAGCAAAATATTTCATTAGATTTCAACCTATCAATGCATTGCTGAACGATTTACTGCTGATATTTTCTAGAACAATTTTGTTGGGGTTGCTAAATGATTTCTTGCCTGCTACTCTCACTTGAATTATAGGTGAATAATTTGTCTGATGGACTTTCAGGTGGCGTATTGGGTAGGGTTTATGAGGGGATGATCTGGTTGAAGAAGAGAGCGATATAAAGAGGAGTGGGAGATAGACACGTGAGATATGATATTAAGGGTGACCCATTCTTAACTAATAATATTAATATAGTTAAAATAAATAACAAAAAGTAATATATATATATATATATATATATATATATAAGGGTAATATAGTCTTTTTATATAAGACAATGACCACACATGCAACAAGAACATGTTTTAGGGACGGTACGAGTTAAAAAAACGTTTTAGGGAATAAAATGTAGTTTATCCCAAACCACAGGGATCATTCGTGTAATTTACCCTTAAGAAATATATGTTAGGACTATATGGACGTTGGTTTCGTTCCGATCGACGATAAATGGTGAGGTTATCCATAATATGCAAGCTTTCATGGATGGTGACTCAAGACTATCACCTAGTGGGATAGTACTCACGTTGGGTCCATTATGTATAAAATATTTAGAAATTATTGGGATTATCGTCCTATAGGTATTGTATTCATGTTGGTCCCCTTTGGGGATGGCTATGTGCTGATCACTCAAAACACAAACGAAAACGTATTTACTTCTTGATTTAGAATGTACTATATTGTTTAATGTAGCTATCTTGTTGTCTTATTCACATGTTTATAATTATTGTTAGTGATGTTGTATAGAAGGTCATGCTAGTTATTCACCAAGCTTTTTGTAGCTTTTTGTGGTTGCTATAAGTTATGATGGTAGGTGCATGTATTAGTAGTAAGGGTAATAAAGTAGTTGAGCTTAAAGATGACATAACAAGACTTAGAAGTTAGATGTTTATATCAATATTGTTTTGAAGTTCTATAACATACGTTTGGGTTATTATATAGCTTTGTGACTTAGCTACAATTGTTGGTACATCTTATTATAATTGTTGTAATATGAAATATTTCACGTTGTATAATTAATGTTCTTAACATAAATTTTTGTGTGTATATTATGTATTAGAGTTTTCGGTGTTACACTTGCACCTCTAAACATACTTTTTCATAGTAGTTTCTACATGTATGCTTGATGATCAATCCTTACTACTTGAAGTTTCCATACCTAGATATCATATAACAGAAATAATAAGATATAAGAAAACCAAGCTCTAATTTCCAGCTTATAGTGATTATATTAGATACGACAAACACAAATAGACACTATTAGGAACATACAAAAGTTACATGAATATACAACATGACAGAAATAGTAAACGTAGCAAACTAAAGAAATATTTAATTATAGCAATATTATTATATTAAAAGGTAGTGTTGAGGGCTCGAATTTGTGAATTGCGCCAAGTCTACACTTCATAAGAAAACCATGTCTATGTTTTTGACAATTCAAGAAAATATTTGATAGGCGACTATCCAACATGTTAAGTAATCAATATACTGAGTATATTATTATAATTATGAATAATAAATACATATCTTTATATTTGCAAACAGTTAAAATACATTGTTATTTTTCTATTAAAATAATTTTTGAGTTGCATAGTTTCATATATTTCAAGACTTACCTAAATAATTTTTAATTGTAAAAATTATTTCTATTAATTATTATAAGAAAGTTTGGTTTAACTGCTTGACAAAACTCATGCATAAACAACGTAACGACTTATGTATGATACCTTTAAATAAAACATTTAAAGGGTAAAATAGTTGCATTTTATTGTTTTGGTGTTCGAATTCATTTGTTTCTCTGCTTTCTTATTTATCATTTTATTGATCTTTTCCCTCCTCCTTACTCGTTTAAAATTAATGATTGAGACGAAATTGAAATTCGAATTCATGACACGACATGACAAAAATACACGATACAAAACGAAATTGGGATACAACTAAAATTTGAATTCATGTTCGTGTTAAATGTAAAAACACGATGTCATGTTGTGTTCAAGATTTGACACAATATTAACATATGTTTGTCGAGTTTTTCTATTTGTCATTTTTGTAACATTATATATATATATTATATATATATATATATATATATATATATATATATATAAAAGTAAGTTCAAATAAAAACAGAAAATAGTGTGAGAACGTAAAAACACAATGTTTATATTATTCTGTAATGAATGTTGTATATGTGTATTGTTGAATCAATTCTAATATGAATATTAACGTTTGATTATTCATATATTCATTAGAATGTTATTATTCTATTATAAATTTATGTATATGCATTTTTATAGTAAATTTTAATTTTAGTTTTAACATGTGACTATTAATTTATTCATTGCTGAAAAATGATATAAAACTGTGCATACAAAATTTATTACAGAATAATAACATAAAAATTATGTTGTACGTTCTCACATTATTTACTGTTTTTATTTAAACTATCCCTATATATATTAAAAGTTTGTTCCCTTATGAACAGTACCTAACCAGGGTACTGTTCATAAGATTATTTAACTCCACCTTAATTTTGAATTAAATATACTAAATACTTATTTTATTTTATCTTTTTTGTATTTGTGATGTTTGTCGTTTTTAAACTCTTTTAATTAGGTCATTTTGGTGTTAGTAAACAAAACACAACATCAAGTTGTGTCATGTTCCTGATGTCGTGTCGTGATTTACCAACCTAACTATCATGGTATATGAATACCAAATAATTAAAATTGTGTTTTATCAAGTATCTTGATTTTAGACCTTATACTTTTACTCTATACAAAAATGTATACTTGGTTTAAAACCTTTGTCAGAATATATTATATTGGCTTTGAGATGAAGTAAACAGCTTTTACGAACTTTTTAAAAGACAAACTATTAAAATATTAATATTTATTTATTTATTGCAATTAAATATTTTATAACAAACTTTTTCCTACAAATGTAATTAACATTTATTTAACATCAATTCATAATGTAGTTAAATTGCGCAAGCGACCTCACCTCGACCTAAATTTTGTACTATTCATGGGTCCACATGTCACATGCAATTCCCAGTCAAACCATCCGCATGGAGGCAGGGGTCTAAAGTTGATAATATGCAAAAGTAGAAGGGTGTGAATTGTTAAATTCTTTGGCGCGTAAATTAAACGACGAAAAGGGCAGTCAGTTGGTCGGGTCTATGATAGTCGTTGGACGTAACTGTCCCTTCTTTATATCAACACTTTCGTCTTGTTACATGTGCCATTCATACATTTACTCAATCACAAAAACAGCCAATACAATCAAACTTTCCTACCAAAATATTTTAAATTTGATTCCTTTAATTTGATGGGTAGTCGGTGTATAATTATTAGCTATAAATAAATATTTTAAATATACAAAAGATTTAAGTAAATAATCTTTTTGTTGGTGGAAAATTAATGTTATGTTATGAAATTTATCTAAACAAAAAGTACAAGTTCGCTTGCATAAGTAAAAGTAATATAACTTTGCTTCTTTTGATAAGATGGATAAATATTATAGTATATTTTATTTATTTATGTATTATAACATTATATTTGATTTATTTATTAAACATTGTATTTTCATTCATTGTCTTATTAAAGTATCACATGCCTTGAAAAGTCCATATAGTTATGATTTTTTCTTAGTAGGTAAACTATATTTTTAGACTATGTCAATAATAATAGTAAAGTTTTGAATATTAATCAAATTATGATTAGATAATGTTATCCAATATACACCATGTAGTGGTAGGACTTTTATTTTATTTATTTATTTTTTTTAAAGAACTACAATTGAAAAAACACTAAAAATATGTTGTTATTTTTAGGGATGTAAATGAACTGAACGTTCAGCGAACCGTTCGGCGGGAAGTTGATTTATGTTCGTTTATTTAATAAACGACCGAACATGAACACAAATTATCGCTCGTTTAGTTAAACGAACGAACATGAACAATGGTCTCGTTCGTTCAATTATGTTCGTGAACGTTCGTTTATATTTTGTTCATTTACGTTCGTTTATGTTCGTTCATATAAGTTCGTATTATGTTCACATATGCTTAATTGTGTTTGATTACATTAGTGTATTATATATTCATTTATGTTCATATATCTTCAATTATGTTTTTTTTTTAACTTTGTTCATTTATGTTCGTTTACCATGTTCACGAACATAAACGAAAGAACATGAACAATGTAATTTGTTAAACGAATGAACATGAACAAGAAAACTCGTTCGTTTATCCGTTCGTGTTCGTTTATTTGTTCGGCTAACTTAAACGAACGAACATGAACAAGCCCCGTTCGTGTTCGTTCGGTTCGTTTACAGCCCTAGTTATTTTTTAATGAAAATAAGGTTTAATGTTGAACAATTTATTTATTTTACAATATATCATTAATTTAGAATAAAATGCTATCATAAAGTAAGCAAATACACATTGTATTGAAAAATAATAAAATATATTATCATTTCAATTTACAAACAAAAATAAATATATTATTATATCAATTTAAAAAACAAAAAATATATTACACACTCATGAAATTAAAGTTAAAAATAATAATGATTATTCTTTTGTCAAACTTCCTCTTTTAAAATTTAGAATGGGTGAGATGAAAATTGAACAAAAGCATCCTACCACATCTCTTTTTGGTCTCATATGAACCCCACCCATGATACTTTGTGATTTAGCTAAAGTTTAAAAGCCTACTCATACTCGAGGGGGGTTCATACTACCCCTACCCCTACCCCCTACCCCCTACGCCACCCCACCCCACCCCACCCCTACCCCCACTCCACCCCTTGACTAGTGGCACTACTCCATATTTTCCTCACTTCACTCTTTCTCCTCCTCATGTTTCGCCATCATCCACGGCCATAGATTTCGCCACTAAACCCTGTTTGCTCCATTACTAGTAAGAAAACACATCTACCTTTTTCTTTTCAATATTCTCAACGTTTTCTGTTTCTTCTTCATCACCAAGAACACAATCTGGGTTCTAAATTTGAAGATTCCATTTGTACGCAAACACAATCTATCTGTTTGGGTTAACTTCCCATTTTCGGAAATGGGTTTCTTGAAGACGGTCAGTTTCGCAGCTTCCCCTGTTCTTCGGTTATAGCTTCATTTGATCCAAGAACGACATATAAACATGTAATCTTATCCAATCTGGAGCATATTTATAATCTTTACTTTTTTATGTGATTTGGAGCATAATTTTGCAGCTTTCTTGTCTGGAATTTTCGTTCTTTCATAGTTTCTGTTTTTAGCAAAATTTCATCCTCTGTACTTTTTAGCAGTTGGGTGAAATCCTTATCTGTATAACTGTATCTTTGTATTCTTGCTGATGATTCAAGAACACATTGGATAATTACAATCATATTTTTCTGCAAATTTTGAATGCACATAAAGTTGTATGCTTTCATCATCTTTTAGGGTTTTCCCGGGTTTCCTTTTTTCTAAAGCCAAGTATGGGATTCGGAATTCTCCTCTGTTTTCTTTTTATATTTCTGCAAACTTTGAGGAATCATATAATTACTTACAAAATTTCTCATTCTTGTTGAATTTCCAGTTTACATAATCTGGGGAACGCTTGAAGAGCATTAAAAGCTGGAAAAATGGATGAAAAACAGCTCGATTTGAATGCGCCTCTACTCTCAGTTAGACGATTATCAACAACCTCTTCGAAATTAGAAGGATTATCGAACAATTCCAGTAGAAGATCAAGGCCAACAAGACAACAGTCCCTTCCAGTTCCTAAATCTCAGTGGGAACCCGAACCAGAAGACACAAAACCAGCAGCAATTCCGTTCAACTGGGAACAAATCCCCGGAAAAGCAAATACCCAAAAAAATCAGAACAAAAAAACATCCAAAATTTCCCGATTGACGACCAATCATCAGACGATGTTCCTCCTGACGCCATTGAAACACTTTCCATGTCGTTTTCCTGCAATTTCAGTGAAGAAAACAGCGATTTGGAATCTTCAGGATCGTTTTCTTCAGATTTACAAACTCGTGATTATCTGATGAATCGGTTTTTACCTGCAGCAAAATCTATGATTGTTGAAACCCCACAATACGTTGCAAAAAAGCAAGAAGCTCCTGTTCTTGAGCCTCCGAAGTATGTTAAGAAGGTTTATAGTGGGGAACTCAGGCCTTTGTTGCTTGAAAAATACCCGATTACTTCAGTTTCACCTTATAATCATGAAATTGATAAAGAAATCAATGTGATTGATGACACCAAGAAGAAATCGAGCAAAAAGGGTTTTAGTTTTTTCCTTCCACGAATCTGCACAAAACGAAATTCCTGCCTCTCGAATCCAACTCCGGGACCGAAAACAAAGACTCCGGATTCGCCGGGTCCGATTCCACGGCTCTCGCGAAGAACTTCTTACAGTGGACCGCTAACTCCGAGTATCGAAAAGGTTTGCGTTAAATTGCTTGGTTTTTTAGAAGATTATACTTTAAAGAATCTACCAAAAGTCCAAACTATAGCATCAAAAATTGCTTAGTTATTTGATGACACTTTTTGGATTTTTCAAAGTCCATTTTTATAATGGGTAGATTTTTTTAAAGTACCATGTTGTAATAAACAGATAGGTAAAAATGCGAGTAATAGTAGAATACTATTATGAATTTGTCTATTATAACATCCTACATTCAAATATCCACCCAATTATGGTATTGTACTTTTATTATTTTTTTTCTTATTAGGATATTAGGCTTTGACAAATCTACCCAATTATATCTGTGAAATTTCTTTGTATTTGGATGATATTATTATAGTTGAGTAGATTTTCAAGGTGCGATGCTATAATAAGGATAAATGTTAGTAAATTGCTATAATAAACAAAACAGTGAAAATACGTTGCTATTTTTTCCATTCAACAAAAAATGGTATTATATATTGGGCTGAATGCAAAAAAGTAGCAACATATTTCCACTTATTTGTGTATAGCAATTACAACATTATACTGTCAATTTTTTTCTATACTTTAAAAAAACCCATACTTCCAAAATTCTCGTACGGACATTGTACTTAAATTCTACTCAATTATAACAATTACTCAACACTACGATAATTGGTTAGATTTTTCAAAATACAATGCTTTAATATGAAGAAATAAAAGCAGGATGCTATAATAAACATATAAATAAAAGTAAGATGCCCCTTACATGTTTAAAAACTTGTGCATTTAATCATGAATCTTGCTAAGAATCTTTTCTTAATTCCATCAAGTTACTAAATTTGCTATTGTTTAAAAACCTCCCTCTTTGCAGCAAGCAATGGACGCAGTTATTCGAAAAAGAGCCGAAACGCGATCAAAAGAAGTCCCAGAAACCCGTAAATCAAGTCCATTAGCTCGGTCGGGCAACTCACTCCCATCATCTCCCTCCCGCGGCATGTCTCGTAGCGGTCGGATATCTCCATACCGCAATGAATCGCCTCGGTCTCCGTTCCACGATGGGGCCCGCTTTCTCGGAGTTCCAAAAGACGTTCAAAATCATCATATAGTTAATAAGCCTAAAACATGCCCTTCATTTAATGTAAAAAGTAATTTTCATGAAAATCCTCCGGTACCCGAGAAAACGTTGTACATAGATTGGATTGGGAAACCAACAAATGTAATTCCCGATGATGATAAGGTTGAGGGAAATGGCGGCGTTGATGATTCCGAAGTTCCTCGTGTCCCTCCATTGCCTAAATCGCCATCGGAATCATGGCTTTGGAAAAAGATGAGTTTAAGGAGTCCGTTTCATAAGAAGGTGGAACGGGGTTCGACTGAGAAGAGTGATAAAAGTGGCCCAAAATGGGAGACGATTGTGAAAACTTCTAATGTGCGGAATGATCATGTTCGGTATTCGGAGGTAAATTTGTTTGATTCCTTATTTGGTCTTGTTGTTTCTTTTTTACTTAATGGACTTAATGGGGATCTGACTTAATCTAGTAAGCTATATATGAGTGTTACTTTTTGACATAATGTAGAAAGAACGACTTAATAGATAAAGTCAAGGAAACGGAATTTTACCCATTACATCCAAAGTTTTGAAATTTCGTTTGAATGCAAGAAAAAGCGGTGTACCTAATTATAGCTTTGTACTATAACTTTTTTGTTATTAAGGACACTGTATTTTGATAAAGTTGCCCAATTATAGCATTGTATTTGGATGACATTGCTACAATTGGATAGATTTTTAAAGTAGAATGTCATAATACGTAAGAAATGAAAATAGGATGCTATAATACACAAATCAATGAAAGTATGTTTGCTATTTCTTGCCAAATAACTTTATCCATATCGTACTCAATGAGATAAAAAAGAAACTGGGTCTTAGTTTAATTATACTGAATCTGAACCATATTTACTTGATCCAACAAACCAAATCTTGTTTCCTTATGAATCTTGTCAAATTTCTTTCAGGAACGGCTTAATATTTCAAAGTACACAGAGATATCATTTTAACAAAATTGATATGATTGTTAACACATGAAGAATGTGAGGCTGTTTTATTTTTCTGATGGCCCCTTTGGTGAGTCTACTTCAACATTTTCGTCTTTTTTTTCTTTCTGTAGTTTTAGAGGTGATCTTTTGTGGGTTGTGGATTGGATTAGTTGATGAATTTTGCATCCAGAAGATTTGTGAATTGTGATCATGGTTTATATGTATGATGAACACATTGTTCTCATAGGGGTTTGATTTGTAACAGAAAACTATAGAGATATCGTTTGTGTTTAAAGGCAATGAACGGAGTTTTTAATTAATAATCTTTATATGTCAATGTCGTGTGTTTGGTTTTGTTGACAGTTTTATGTGATTTGTACCACTATGAGTATCATCAACATAATCAAGACTTGTGAGTATACTTCAATCGGTATTGGGTTTATTTTCTTCTAGAGTGTACAACAATTATGAGAACAGGAAAATTAAGAGAAGAAAATATTGAGGATGCGAAAATGCAAGAATATATATGAGAAGTATAAGAATAAGAGAATTCTGAAATCCCTTTGAAATCAACATGTGTTTTTCACTTAGTTATGGGTTGAGTTATCTAATCGAATCACCAAATTTCAATTCATACTCTAACAAATAGCATTTTAAAAACGTAAGAGCTTTTTCATTGAAAAGATTTTTGAAAAAAAAAACTCTCAAAAAGCTAATATTGTGGAAAAGAAAAAATAATGAGTAAAATGATCATTTTACATGTGGTAACGAAGTTGGATAAACGGTAACGGCGAAAAGAGCCAAACATGATGGATTTTAAAATCAATAGAACCATTGATATCAATTTTTCAAAAGTAGAACTAAACCTATAAAAAAATGAAAACAAAAGAAATCAAAACTGTAATTTTCTCTATGTACTATCATTATCATTATATGATGTAACCTATTACTACAAATTCAAACTTAGTATTGAATAATATTGCATGTACTCTTTGAAAGAATGGTACACATTATACACGAAATATGATGGTGTATATTCATTATAAACAAATATATGATATTAACTCTGATTCGTCATCAACAAATTGTTATAAACGAAGAAAAGACGATAAACAGACAACAAGTGCATGAACCCAACAAAACCTAAGCTTCCACCCACTATTGGTACCAAGAAGATCGTCAACAAGAGGAAAATGCCTATATGCAAAAGAGAACCGATTATAATATTTTTCAAGTGGTAAAAATATTGAAACAACGAAACATCCATAGAAATACCAAACGCCAAAAAGAACAAGTCAAAAGCAATAATATTTGACACAACATCGGGGTAAAGATGTGTTAAATGGACACCATAATACCTTAAAACTTCTACGACGAATGAAGTGGGATGGAGTCTTAAGCCACAATCTAAATGCCTTAAGTAAAACCCAACTTTACCTGTGAGAGGTTCAAAAATAGAATCATAAGATAAAGGTATTTTCGACACCATGAACAACTGACAAATGATAGTCAACAATATACCGGTCTAACATGCGTGCGTCATCCTCAGATCGAACTGATGACATCCGCATAACCATATGATAAAGTTGGAAAGATATTGTGACAAGTACAATAAGCATCAGTCTCAACAACCATATCTCATAATTAAAAAGACGGATCGAACAAGCATTAAATTCCATTAATAAGGAGGATATGAACGTCACTAATAAATATTACAATCATTAAATGCCATCTAATGAAACACGAATCCCCTAGCAAGATAGCAATTTAGACAAAAAAAATTATTAGCCTACTTTTTATCCTTTGGACCGGGAAGCTTCTTAATGGTGTACCCAAATCGATATCAAAGTAATTATACCAACCCAGGTCCTATCCAAGGTAAAGATCCACTCGAAAATCCCCACTAGCCAAGTAGCAATAGACTCGTTACAATACATACCAGTGAAAGACTCTTGGCCAACATATCCCTAAAAATGCGCACTCTATAAAAAGAAACGTATAAATACAAAACATTATGTAACATTCTGTTTTGAGAAGTTTCTTATTTCGGGGCTGTGGGAAATAAATGGATCAAGTAAATTGTGACATCCCCTAATTTCTCGGCCAGAAAAGACCGATTTAATTTATGCTTTTTAAAATAAAATCAGAGAAATCCTTTTAAAAGATGTTGCGGAATCGGTCCCCAATACAAAACATGATAAAAGTTTGTCAAAACCTTTCTTTAAGAAATATATAATTTCATTTCATATCAAAACCTCGGGATGTCATGTTCCGATACAGATCAAGAGCATAAACAAGACATTATAAGCCTTTCAACAGTTATTTACAACTACTGGCCTATAATCCAAAAATCTCTCATCCTCCTCCGACTATGCTCGGGGTCCACTACCTGTAACATAAAAAGCTGAGTGGGTCAGGCTTGGGAGCCTGGTGAGCATATAGGGTTTTCAACCCACAATAATAATAAACTTATTAAGTTCACCAGTCAACAATAACCTTGATTACCCGTTCCCGTTATCCTCACTTTACGTCCCTAAACACTTATCACAAGGGACCTAGCCTAAAGAATATTATCGGGATGGACACTACTGCTAAGGGGACTCCTCAGCCATACATGTCCTAAAGGCAACCATGAGGGGGATGGAGTACAACAAATGAACACCCAAGTTCATTAACACCTACAGGTTGCGGGCCTGCCAGCGTTCCACTGGACTGTCTAGAAAAGTCCGTGGTCATCATCTAAACTCCGCTAGATGACTGGATCACAATCACATCGAGGCCTCTCATCATTTTATTTCATCACACATCAACTATCTACCCATGTTTTACCCAACATATTTGTAGATAAAAATACATATACAGTTTAAAACTTGTATAAAACATCTATTCAACAGTCACCTCAATTAAACAATTAATATAATTACACGTAGCACGTATTTTATAGAAAATACTTCATATCTAGGTGTAAGATGAAGGCGACTACACACTCACTTGATTTGATGATAATCGGGCAGCAATTCGTTTCCTAAAACGATCGTTTCTAATAAAATCGGGAGTTTTATTGAGAAACCGGGCTCTGCGTAGGTTGGGCTTCGAAACCGAAAAGATAAATTTCTCGGGCTTCTCGGGCACTTCGGGGCGTATTCCGGGTGTTTGGTATAATACCGGGGCTTTGGGGGAGGTTAGAATGAAAGTAATATTGAAAAAGGGGCTAAAAGTGACAATTTTCCAAATATTCCCCGGGAGGTCTCGCACCCTTCTATTTATAGGGGCGAGACTTCTGATCCAAGGGCTGAGAAGCCTCCACGCGTCAGCAGATCCGGAGCAAGGAGCACATGGGTTGCGCATGCGAGGTCCTGGTGTCGCCTCCTGATTGGACTGAGGTCTAGGGTCCGAGACTTCGGACGTGGCACTCCCTGCGAAGCTCGGATGCATCATAAAGGGGTACGAGGCAGCTTCTGATTGGCCGAGCCTTCGGTCCGAAGAGAATGCAACACGCGTCGACAGGTGGCCTCGGATGACTCAGCATTTTCGGACACGTGGCACGATTTGAGCGAGGGTGACGTGGCCGAAGTCCACCTTGTGAATTTTCTCGGTTTTGGCAAATTTTCTCGATTTTCGTGCCAAAACTTCTAAAATCCATAACTTTCGCATATTGGCTCCGTTTTTGACGTTCTTTATATGCACGCGTAGGTAAAATTACGCTCTACAACTTTCGTTTAGACTTCGTCGGCTAATTTTGACTTTAATTTTTATATTATTATTTTTAACAGACCGGGATAGGAAATCCGTTAAAAATTCATAACTTCTTCATCCGACGTCCGTTTTCGTCTGTCTATTTACCGTTGTGCTACTATTGACGAGACCTTCGATTCTCGTTTAGGTTGTATCGGCTAAAAATCACTCGATCTAAAATTCGAGTTTTTAGCTGTCTACTTCTAAGCTGGAACTTAGAAAAATCATAACTTCCTCATACGAAGTCAGATTTGGGCGTTCTTTTTATACCTACTCTCGGTTTAACGAACACTACGACTTTCGTTTAGATCACTAAGGCTAAAAAGTAGTTTATCAAAAACTCACTTTTTATGACATTCGACACCGTGCCGGTTTTGTCGCGAAACTTCGATAGGTCATAACTTCTTCGTTATAACTCGGATTTCGGTATTCTTTATATATCTGTAATCCTTGTCACCCCCACCACAAGTTTCTTAATAGATATCGGCTTTATCTAATATTTATTTTTGACGCTCATTTTTATTCTTAATTAATTAAACCCTAATAATTAAGCATAAAACACATAATTTTCACATAATTCCTTTTCATTTCTTCAAAATGAGTTACAAAGGTTAACCTAGACTATAACATCAATATTAATGCCTAGCCTAGAAACACGGGCATTACATAAATGCCTTGAGCTTCAAGGGAATATGGTTTAGACCCTATTGGACGGTGATAATATTGGTCAAGTGATCTAAGCCCTTGTTTTGTGTTTCGGAGCCAAATGGGTAAAATGGGGAAAGTTAATTGTTGGGCATCTTGCATGGATTATGGTTTTTAGATCGACATGTGTTAAGCCAAAAGTAACTAGATAGAAGTGCGGGCAATGTCAATACCTTTCTGTGGATATAAAGATCGCCGAAAACGAAGTTGAAACGAAGAAGTTATGGTTGTTTGAAGTTGATGTGGATTTGGGTGAAAAGTCGTGGCCATGGTGTGGAATCAGAGCCCACGGCGTGGTGATCAGTCATGCCCAAACCCATGATTTTTTAGGGTTTTCAACGTATTTAAGCTTAATGTTCCGCATTTTTGGGCATTTATCAGCCTCCACCACCTCTAGGACCCCTAAGGAGAAATCCTAGCCTCCACCTTCAAAATTTGAGCTTCTCCCCTCTCCTCTCTCCTCTTTTGGATGCTTTCTGTGATATTTTGATGAAGTTTGATGATCAAGAAGGTTCTTTTGGTTTCAAGGAAAGTTGTTTCAAGTTTGGATTTATCAAAGGCACTGCCTTTAGGGACTATTGTAAGTATAAAGTTTTGATCTTGCTATCTAGTTCTTTAGATCTTGTCATTTGGGGTTTTTGTCACTTTTGGTCCATTTTATGGGTAATCTTGGAGTTGGGTGGACTCCAACATCTTTTGATCAGTTTAGAATGCTTCTTGAACCTTATAGACTAGGAAATTTATGATCTTTTGCCTTCCCTTCTAGCCATGCAAGTTATCTTGGCCCTTTAGGTCATTTTGGTGTATTAAAACTTAGATCTTGAAAGGTGGTAACTTTTTTATGGATAAAGTTGGAAACTTTATCTATCTAAACATCATGTTGATCCAAATCTGAAC